CAATGTATTTATTCCTTTGGTTACTGATGGACATTTGTTTCTAGTTTTTGCTGTTATGAATAAGCTGCTTTGAATATTACTGTAGCCCGGCTTGGGTGGCTCAGAGATCGAGCATTTATCTATGAACCAGGAGGTCACAGTTCAATTCCCAGTCAGAGCATATGCCCAGTTTTGCAGGCTCAATCCCCAGTGAGGGGCATACAGGAAGCAGCCAATCAATGATTCTCTCTCATCAGTGATGTTCTCTCTCTCTCTCTCTCTCTCTCTCTCTCTCTCTCTCTCTCTCTTCCCCCCTTTCCTTTCTCTCTCTGAATTCAATAAAATATATTTGAAAAGAGACTATGCAGTCTACCATAATATTGAATGTGTAAATCACATGCTAATCCTCTAGTTCTGGTGGTGTTTGGAGACTTTAGTAAAGTATTGCTTAAATATTCCAATTGGATTTTTTTTTTTAAATTCAGGCTTTGTCTCTGCTGTGCTCTGGGAAAACAAAGGAAGGTGTGTAAATTCCCCCATAAGAGGAGTCTTAAGTGGTAGAAATCGTGCTCTAAATAGCAGTGTGGGTGGCTGCAGTGATTTCTGTGATTTCTCAGGGATGGTATGTCTTCTAAGCTAGAGTCAGGCTTCAGGTATCTACTTAACCCTCCCAAGTGGAAACTGTCTCTACTTTGGGGCCACTCATGGAGGACAGAGATTAGTTTATTTTCCAAGGATTCAGCCAACCAGTTCCCCTCTACCCTCTATCACCTTCTCTAAAATGGGGGACCCATGTACATGTATGAGGGTTGTAACAGGTTGAATTTATACCCCTTCAGAAAACATGAAGTCCATACCCAGTATCTCAGGAAGTGACCTTATCTGGATATAGGGTAATTGCAGAGGTAATGAGAGAAGATGAGGTCATACTGGATTTAGGGTGGTGTGCTTATTATGGTGCCCTCATTATGACTGGTGTGCTTATAAGAAGAGGAAGAGAGACACAGGAATTTTGGCCTGACTGAATTGTCCTCCCAATATTCCTATGTGGAAGCCCTAAACCCCAATGTGACGGTATTTGGAGATAAGGCCGTTGGGAGATAATTAGGTTTACATGAGGTCATGTGGTGGGACCCTCATGATGGGATTAGTGTCCTCAAAAGAGGACAAGATACCATGTGAGGACACAGTGAGACGGCCAAGCCAGGAAGAGAGCTCTCACCACAGCCTGACCATGCTGGCTCTCTGATCTCAGATATCCGGCCTCCAAAACTGTGAGGAGTTAAATCCCCATTGTTGAGCCACCCAGTCTATGGTATTTTGCTAGGGCAGCACACGCTGAGTCATACAAACACCCTGCAATGATAGAGGCAGAGAAGGGAATGATGCCTCTGCAAGCTGAGGAATGCCAGTGGTTGATGGCCACCACCAGCAGCCAGGCAAAGGCAGGGAAGGATTCTACCCAGAGTCTAAGAGGGAGCACTGCCTGCTGACACCTTATTTTATTTTGGACTAAGAGTCTCCAGAATTATAAGAGGATAAACTTACGTTGTTTTAAAACACCTGGTCTGTCGTACGTTATTACCACACTCTAGGAAACTAATACAGTATCACTGTAAGGTTGGTGGAGGAAGGTTGGAAATGGGTGGGAGATAACTGAAGGTCTTTCTTTTTTTTGCCTTATTCGCAAGTCATAACTGTGGTTAGGATCCTGTGGGATCTGCAGGTTAGTCAGAAGTGAAGATAAATCCACTCCAAAATTATAAGTTATGGGAAGGAATTCAACTTTCCAAGGTTACTTTATATCTAACATTTTAAGAATCTGTTATAAAAAATAAAGTGTACTGCCCAGCCTGTGTGGCTCAGTGGTTGAGCGTCAACCTAAGAACCAGGAGGTCATAGTTCGATTCCCAGTCAGGGAACAGGCCGGGATTGTGGGCTTAATCCTCAGTAGGGGGCGTGCAGGAGGCAGCCAATCAAAGATTCTCTCTCATCATTGGTATTTCTATCTCTCTGTCCCTCTCCCTTCCTCTCTGAAATCAATAAAAATAAATAAATAAATAAAATAAGGAATTTTAGGAAATAAAGTATATCTTGGTCTCAATAGGCCAAAATTCCTGTCAGGAAATGGATTGTGATTTCCTTGCCCAAAGCATTTCATTTAATAACCTACCTGATAAGTGGGGAATAGTTGTGAGCCAGGAAGCTCCCAAAAATCGGAAATTTAACTCAAATAAGCAAGGACAACGTGGGGGATGGAGGGAACACAGTCCTATTTTTCATGTTAAAATCGGGGAAAGATTTAAAGCATCAGGCATTGCAGGACTTCTCAAGTCAAGGATATGCATGCATCTATAATATTTTTCATGGATCAGGAAGAGAATGCACATACAGCCTTTAAAAATTGTGTGAATAAACATCTATGTGACATATGGCAGGGAATTGTGATCCTGTTAAACACGTGCTGTGCTTGGCAGGAGCAAAGAGCCAGCATGCCTGCTCACTTAGTTCTTCCCACCCCCTCAGATGTGAGTCTTAGCAGGTGGGAGGATCTGGTGCATGCTTCATGAGGTCCATGTAGGAAGAAAGCATTGCCCACAGCTTAAGCTTTGTCCAATACCAACACAATGTCAGGCATGAACAGAGGGTATATGTTCCTCTGAGGGTGGAGCCAGAAAATGTGTGGGAGATGTACAGTGCCCTTCTAAGCTGCTGAGGGGCAACTGCATTGATGTGTTTGGAGGGCTCTGTATTTCATTGAGATGCCACATGCCAAATTAAACCTCCCTCCACCCTGTGACCTCTGCCCTTGATGACCAACTTCAGAACAAGTCACCTTTAGGAACTGAAATGCCTGGGGCCCACAGTCCCCACCCGAAGGCTGGGAAGGCTCTCTGGGCACACGCTCTTTCCTTTGCACTGGATACTTTTCATCTCTCCTACTTCATCTTTCAGGTCCCAGCTTACACATCACCTGCTCAGGAAAGATTCACTGATCTCCATGTTCTTCTTCTTAATATTTCGAGTTTTGCACACTTGTAGTAATTTACTCAGTTTTGTTTATTACCATCATTTTTATTTATCACCACTGTTTTTCTCACTAGGTTGTATGAGTTTCTTTTTTGTTCAGTGCAGTTTTCCTAGTCTGACACATAGTAGACATTCAATAAATACCATTGACTAATTGGAAGTCCAGTGTTCTCCTACCTGAAAAATTGCTGATTTATAGTTCATTCTCAAAAAAACAGAACCCTCAAGAGATAGAAGGTAGGAAGGGAGAAAGGAAGGAAGGTGGGGAAGGTAGCAGGAAGAGAGATAATTGTATGGAAAATGAACAAAGGTTACAAAGAGACAATTCATAGAAGAAATTAAAATAGCCAAGAAATATACAAAAAGATGCTCATTTAGAAATGAAAATTAAAAATAATATTTTTAATAATCATTGTTAGCAAGGATTTAGGTAAGAGGGTGCTCTTATACACTATTGGTAGCTCAAAACTATTTCTATACTTATAATTTAATAGGAAAAAAACAGAAACCACTTAACATCATCCAGTAGAGAAATTATTACATTTTACTACATTCCCAGCGGAGGAGGAAGGGCATAGTGCAACCGTAGGCAAACTATTGGCTGCGGGCCGGATACGACCCCGTATAAATGAATAAAACTATTGAAAAAAAAGACCGTTCCCTTTTATGTAATGATGTTTACTTTAAATTTATATTAGTTCACACAAACACCCCATCCATACTTTTGATCCAGCCCCCCAGTCAAGTTTAAGAACCCATGTGGATAAAAATAAAAAAAGTTTGCCCACTCCTGGGATAGAGCGTTGGCCTGCGGACTGAAGGGTCCCAGGTTCGATTCCGGTAAGGGCACCCCCCCCGCCAAAAAAAAAGGAGATTGCAGAACAATATGTATAATAATCCAAGTAATTAAAAATATAGTCTCCAAAGAAAAAGGTTTCAAAGGATTCACACCAAATATTTATAATGATAATATATAATATTTTTTAAAGGTAAGAGTTCCTTCTTATATTTTTATTGATTTCAGAGAGGAAGGGAAAAGGAGAGAGATATAGAAACATCAGTGAGAGAGAATCATTGATTTGCTGTCCCCTGCAGCCACCTATTGGGAATCCCTGCAATCTGGGCATGTGCCTTTGACAGGAACCAAACCCAGGACCCTTCAGTCCTCAGGCCAAAATTCTATCCACTGAGTCAAACCAGCTAGGGCATCATCCTTACAAATAAAAGCCTAAATGGTCATCATGCCGTGATGCCCTCACACCGTCTCAGCTGCGCGCACAGCGGGTGTGCACAGGTGGGTGGGGCTGGGCTTGACGCTACCTGCACGGCAGGGAGCCTGCCTGGGAGTCCCACCTCCTCCCGGCTCCGCGGGGTCCTGCCTCCAGCCTACCTCTTTGGGGCAATCCATTGAGGAGCCCCAGATGGGTAGGTGGGGCCTACTTCTTTGGGGTGATCAATCACCAGGGCTCGTGCACTGTGACAGGGCACAGGCCAGGCTGGGTGACCCTCCCCCCAAGTGCACAAATTTTGTGTACCAGGCCTCTAGTAATATATAATACTGGAGGCCAGGTGCATGGATTCATGCACCAGTGGGGTCCTTCGGCCTTGCCTGTGGGGATTGGGCCAAAACCAGCTCTCCAAAATCCCCCCAAGGAGTCCCAGATTGCAATAGGGTGGAGGCCAGTCAAGGAGCCCCACCATTGCACGATCAGGGCCGGGGAGGGACCACGGGAGGGCTCCAGCGTGTGTCCAGCCCATCTCCCCCAGTCCCGACCAGCTGGACCCTAGCAGCAAGCTAACCTACTGGTCGGAGCGTCTGCCCCCTGGTGGTTAGTGTGTGTCATAGCAACTAGTCAAATGGTTGAGGGACAATTAGCATATTAGGCTTTTATATGTATAGAATACTAACTAGTTGGTGTGAATCCTTTGAGACCTTTACCTGTGAGGAAGTATAAATGGGGGGTTTACTTTTTACAATAAATATATACTTCTATTTTGAAAGAACTTTATTGAGTATGATTGACATAAACTGGACGTATTAAGTGTACAGTTTGTTTTGACATCATAAAATCTGTGATGTCTGTTTTGACATCTGTGAAACCAACACCACAATTAAGATAATTTATATCATCCGTAAAAGCTTCCTTTTGTCTCTTCGCAATTCCTCCTCCTTTTCCAAGCCAACCCATCTCCTAGCAACCACTGATTCACTTTCTGTCACTATAGTTTCCATTTGCTGGAATACTATATAAATGAAATTACATATAGACTTTTTTTCAGGCTTCTTTCACTCAACATAATTATTTTGAGGTTCATCCATGTTGATGCATGTATCAAAAGCTTGGTCTTTTTACTGCTGAGTTGTATTCCATTGTATGAATCTATCATAATTGGTTTTATCTATTCACCTGTGGATGGACATTTGAATTATTTTTAGTTCTTGTCTATTACAAATAAAGAAGCTATGAACACTGTGTACAAGTCTTTGTAAGACCATATAATTTTTCTCCTCTTGGGTAAATAGCTAGCAGTGGAATGACTTAAGATAGGTTTATGTTTAGTATTTTAAGAAGTTCCAAAGTGCTTTCAAAGTGGTTGTACCGTATTATATTCCCATGAAACGGTATGGGGTTGCCGCACCAAATGAGTGGTCTCTTCACCATCATGACGTGAGGTAATGACTAACCATCAGCTTACCCATGTAGTTCAACCAGAGACTGGCCAACTAGAAGGGGTCTAGAGACCTTTTTAGTCTCGGATTCTTCTGAGAATCTGATAAAGGTCACAGTCCACTTGGAGTATAGGAACACACACACACACACACACACACACACACACACATCATCCACGTTTGAAATGCCTACAGCCTGAGTAAAAGCTGGGATACTTGGGATGGAAAGCAAAAGGCTGGAGTTCAGTGTGTTGAAAAGCTTACAATCGCTGGGAAC